TATATGGTTAGAGGTCTATTATACAGATAACTTTAGAGGTCTATTATACATCAAAGATAGGTTTTACAGGTGTAGAAACTAGTAAATCAACCCAATGATTTGGTTTAGAAATTTATTCTGAAAAAACACATTCACACCTGAAAAATTTGTATTTTCTGAGGGGGGGTGATTAATTTATTATATTTATTACTATATTTATTATACACGTGTAAATTAATTACTGCAAAAATAATTTACTTCGTACACTGTGCAGAGTGCCGTATACTCCTAGTTGTGGCACACATGATACATACAGTAAAAAGCCTCAGGCACTGTGTTAGATGTGTTTTCGACGTTATATATGCTTTTATTAATGTCGTCGATTTTACGGTTGCAATTCGACGTTGATTATACGTCACGGCGACGTATATATACGTATAGCCGTATTTTCGCCGTGAATATACAATGCCGAATCAATGCCCATTGGGTTGGAGAAAGCAATGATGCTTGGAATGGTCAGTGGAACAAGAAGACGAGGCCGTCAAAGAACGCGGTGGCTCCACGCCATCAAGACGGACACTGGCTTAGGCACAGAACAGCTGAAAGGGAAAGTCCAAGACAGAAAAGTGTGGCGAGAGATGGCCTATAGAATCGCTGAGAGTTGGATCCGACTGACCGGATAACATCATCATCATCATCACGTTTACAATGTACCATTATTAACAGCAATTGATGCCATTTAAGTAACTCTTATACTGGTCAGCATCAATTCACTCCCCAAATAAGTTTCTATGTTCATTCGAGGCATAATCTTCACAGCCATATTAAGTGGTGTAATTGCATTTTGTTTCCATCATTTGTTCTATTCACGCTGTAACCTGATATCTCTTCATGCTGCTGTAGTAAAGGTTTCTAAAGGTTTCTAAAGGATTTCTGAGGGATTTGTAAGGTACAGCATGGTGTCGTCCGCAGACAAGGAAATGGCTTGATCTAAAGTCCCCACTTCTTCTCCCAGTATTAATGGATAAGAACTAATTGCAATGGCCAGTGGCTCAACTGCCAATGCAAACAACAGTGGAGAAAGGAGCTACCCCTGCCTTGTCCCTCATCTCTGACAAACTAATGAAGGCAACTCAGAGTTTGCTTAAATGGCAGCTAGAGGATATTGGTGTAAAATATGAATATGGTGTAAAAAATAATTTTCTCTAGGACAGTAAGTCCATTCAACACGTTCGAAGGCCGTCTAATAATGTAATGATGTCAGTACTTGTCCGTAGACATGTTTGGCGCCATGTAAGAACTCCATATTGTCTGGCAACGTTGGCACATGACATGCCTGCCTGTAGCATGTCAATGGCCCTCTCCCTTACTTCTGGTGACATTCGGGGCATTATGGAACTGCCTAAGTATGGCCTTTTTCTTGCAGTGAAGCTTTGAACTACAGCCTTTTTAAAGGTGACCTGATCAGGCATTGTTCCTCCCTGATATCTGTAATGAATTCATATAGTGGAAAGTCCAAACCACAAAAGGAAATATTGAGGAGCCCCTGATATCAGAAGGCATACTGCAGATGATGAAATTTTGTAGGTAATTGTATCTTTTATAGCAAAGAAAATTGAGTTGCATCTTCTGCATTTCTTCAGATAACTTGTGATATCTCACTAAATATGTTGTAATTGTATTGCCATTTAAAAACATCATTTAATAATATGAATATTATGTTTTTTACAATTTACTTATATGCTGCACTGCACCACTGCCTTCTTGTCAGAATAATATTCTTATAGGGCATAGCGGTGGCTAAGGATCTGCGCCTGTGACTGGAAGGTTACTGGTTCAAATCCCACAGCCAGCAGAGGAATCCTACTCTGTTGGGCCCCTGAGCAAGGCCCTTCACCCCAACTGCTCCAGGGGCGCCATACAATGGCTGACCCTGTGCTCTGACCCCAAGCTTCTCTCCCCGTCTGTGTCTCATGGAGAGCAAGCTGGTGTATGCAAAAAGACAAATTCCTAATGCAAGAAATTGTATAGGGATAATAAAGCAATTTATTATTATTATTATTATTATTATTATTATTATTATTATTATTATTATTATTATTATTATTATTATCATAAAAAAGTCTGTTCTTTAGATCCTTAAGTCTCTCAAAACACACAGGGAAAACTGAACCATCTGAAGGAAAAAAACACTTGAACACTGCAAGGACACAAAAGTCCAAACAGAGAACCCCCTGTCCCAAAAAAGAGTTGTGTAGCAGCAGCACTCCCACACCTCCCCATCACCTTCATTTAATAGATCTAACAGCCAACTAACATGTGAGCCCAGCACATTTATTCATTCTGCTTTTAAAATGTGAAAAGATTGAAATCCTGCATTTTGGGGTCTCCTCCTGAAACTACTGCATCTTCTAAAATGACCTGTGGCCTTTGTTTGCTGTGTCTGTATCATCGATTGCAGACTGCTAATGCTGTAGCACATGCCTTTCTCCCTTTGACATTGAGCTTAATATCAAAGGCATAGATGGGCAGGGCCCATAAAATCACTGACTTCTTGATAGTACAATGTATAAAAAGAGATTCATATAGCATGGGAAGGAAAAAGTGTACTGTATTCCTGTATCGCAGCTCTTTTATTCATTCTACTTTAAACTGTTTGAAGTCCTGCACTTCAGAATTCCCTTCTGAACTTACTGTAAAATGTCTACATCTGTCATTGGACATTTTCTTACTGTGGCTAATTGCTTGATTGTAAACTGCGAAGGCCATGCCTGGCCATTAAGTTGATACATTACCAATGAGCTCAATGTCAAAGGAAATAAAAGATTCCTGTGGTGTATTTTCTGTCTTGTTTATACTTCTCACTGTCACAATGAGTCACTTTGTCTTTGTTTTCATTAATAAGATACAGACAAAGGCTTAAAGCAGGCAGCAATTGTGTAATACCCAGTACATTAGAGTAGAAAGTGTTCAAATATTCCCCTCCCAGGACACCAGAGTATAAAACTGAGAAGAAGGTGCAACTTGTTATTGCAGCAGATCCACTGTGAGCAACAGCTCATGGAAGATTTTTAAGGTATGTAACCAAGATACCTTATTAGTGGAGATAATAATAAGGAATAGAAATAATAATAAGGTTAGGAAATAAAATCATCTTATTGATAAATGAATAATGAAAATGATTAAATATATCCAAATAATGTTGTTTTTAATATATTGCATACAGTAAAAGCTTCATATTTATAACAGAGTAGCTATTTGTCTGGGTGCATAGATTAATATCAATGTTTGAAAAGGCAATCTGTTAAAGATTTGGCATCTTTTTTTCCATATCACACGTAAAGTTTTGTTTTAAAGTTAAATAGTGCCATGTTAAATAGTAGTAATGTTGAAGCATATACTGTATAAAGGTAGTCAAAGGTAGGTCTTGGGAAGCCACTATACAGCAGCTCATATACAGAATGTCATCCTGTCTCATGCATTTGTAAATACATTGAACACATGCTTATTTAATTAAGTGAAGAGTGAATAGGAGTGGTCCTTGAGATCTATGGGATTTTGATTTTTTAATTTTTAATCATCTCTAAATTATACATCACAAATCTCAATTTCTCTCCTAGTATACAAACTAAATTTCATGATAAAATTCTATGACTAAATTTCAGGGTAAAGTACTGTATAACACCTGCAGGAATCTGACTCTCCAGGTCTCACGGGATGCTATTACCTTAGTTGTTGTGTTAGAAACAGGACTTTAGCTTCTAAGATGTAATGTATGATCTCACATATTTGTGTTTCTTATTTCTAGGTGTCTTTTGAACAATCGGATTGGAAGGACAATTACAATGCAAAACTCATCCTACGTGACAATTTTATATCTAACCGCATATGATACTAATGGTAATATAAGATATTTGTATTTCACAGGTACTTTATTTGTTTTTCTTTTCATACTCTTTGGAAATGTAATTATTATAACAGTAATTACAAGGGAAAGAAAGCTCCATGAACCCATGTACATATTTATTTGTAACCTGACCCTGAATGGGGTGTACGGTAGCACAGCATTTTATCCTCATTGTTTATCCAACCTTCTGTCAGAAACTCCCTCCATATCTAGAGCTGGCTGCTTGATTCAGGTATATTGCCTTCATACATATGGAGGATTTGAATATTCAATTTTGGCTCTGATGGCGTATGACCGATATGTGTCCATTTGCTATCCATTGATGTATAACAGCATTATGACCCCATTAAAAGTTACTCAGCTGTTAGTCTTTGTATATATGTACCCAGCTTGTATTATGTTTATACATCTAATTCTAACTATTCGTTTACCTCTCTGTGGGTTTATAATAGATAATGTATACTGTGATAACTGGTCAGTTGTGAGGCTGTCATGCTCAGATGTGTCTGTTAATAATATATTTGGTTTCTTTGTTACAAGTCTTCTGATGGGTGTTCCATTGACTGTGATCATTTACTCTTATGTCAGAATCCTGGCAGTGTGCATGAAATCTTCAAAGGAAGCTCGTGCTAAAGCTCTACAGACCTGCACCCCTCATTTACTGAGTTTCACAAATTACAGCATCGCCACATTTTTTGAAGTTCTTCATTTACGTTTTGACCTTAGCAATATGCCCCAAGTAGTACGGATTTTGTTGTCAATGGATTGCATTTTACTTCCTCCTCTTTTAAATCCCGTCATCTATGGAGTTAAATTGCAGGAGATAAGAAAAAGGACAATTAAAATGTTCTTTGGAAGAAAAACTACTTTTGTTTAAGTGTTTTGAGACACAAGGTGACAATAACTTGTCTTCCACATGTAAAGTAAAACAAATTCAAACAGCAGTTGGTAATTGAACAACTTAGCTATTCTGATTTTACACATGGAGTGAGATTAAGAAATCAGTACTGAAACTCATTAATTAATTGTCATGTTTTTTTGTAACCATGTGTTACTCAAATGAAAAATTAAATTATGCATAATGTATGTTTACATTTCTCTGAATTTTCAGATGAACAAAGTCTACAGGTTCCATTTCAAAAGGAGATTTTCTTTTTTCAATTGTGAATTAACAAACTCCTCCATGCTGGAATATTATAGGAACAGGTAAAGATTTATTCAATGCTGAAAAGAAAAGAGACACAACATTTCAGAGGTGCAGTGTTCTTCAGTGGCATTTTGGGTGGTGTCATTCAAGGTGGTGGAATATTATAGTTTCATATAATAGTGTCTTTCACTATAATAGAGCCATCACTGATTGATGACTTCTGTAAGAGGAAACAAGCTTTTCAGACTAAAATCAATTCAACCAAAATCAATCAATCAAGACCATCAATTTCCCTTTGGGATCAATAAAGTCTTATCTATCTAAAAATACTCCTTATGTACAGCAATACTAGTTTAGAAAAAGCAGAAACTAATTGCTGCAAGACTGCATTTTAGTCTTCTTCATACAGCCGAAATGTTGTGTTTTCTCTCTTCTCTTTTCAGCATGGAATAAACCTATTTCTTGTTCCTTTTTAGTCTAAGGGCTGAGTTGTCTGACAACAGATCAGGGCTCTAAGGACGAAAAGGTGTATAGGTTATTCTATTTTGACACAATGTATGCAAACCCATTTCTCATAAACTTAAAATTTCTGCTCATATTCAGTTGGAAAAACGTGTTAAAAAGTCGTAATGCAAACAGTGCCCAATATTTTTTGTCATATCACTAATGAAATAACGTAAAAACAGTAACATCAAATAGATTTACAGATCTGTAATGTTTTATGCATATATATTATTCATAGTGGCTTTAAAACATATTTTATTTTAAAGCAATAAACAAAACATAGTTTTGAAGGACTTATGGCCATGACCTTATATACTGTAATTACCTGAATGTATGCTGTAACCTTGGCACTGTGTGGCATTGACGGTTCAGTGGAAGAATTCTGGGCATTGCCATGCAAAATGCCTGAGTTCAATTTCTGGCATCTGCTGAGCCCCTTGGGAATCATGCTTCTCTAATAATAACATTTAATTTGTATACCATATTGACATTATTATTACATTTTTATATCACAGTGCGTTAAATGTTTAATGAATATTAAATATAAAAGTAGAGCTGTTTCACAAAATAATTACTCAGCTACAGTAGATATTTAAAAAATAGCTTATTATTCTAGCTTGTTGTGAATTTAACACAAACTGTAGTGGCCTTAATAACATACTATCATACTGTATTTACTGTATAAACAGTTGATTTATTTAATGTACTGTACTGTTTTGTTATCCGTGGATATCACTTTATGTGTGGTACGTCGGGAATTGTAGTCTTTTTTTCGTGTATTTGATTCATGTGGCCGACATTTTCAATCTACAGCATCTAGTACATGCTGTGAAGGAAATATATCCTGGCCCATTTTAAATAGACCATCTCAGAATAAAAAAGGATTTGGAACACCTTTATTCACACAAACAATGTGACAAGTAAAAACAGATGATAGATTAATATAATTCATACCAACATGTCTTAAAATAACAATTGATGGATATTGAATTATACTTATCCACAAATGTGGATTTTTAGCTCCCATGCAGAAGGATAGTTTTACTGGTGACTTAGTCTATGCAAGTCACACAAAAGGGGAGGAACTCTGTGTAGCAGTTACTGCTGAATAATTCTCTATTCAGGTGTGGTGACGAAAGTCCAACCGTGTTGCTCCATTGATCAAGCAGCTAGCTGGTCGCAAGGTCCTGCTGCAGGCTAGACCTCGGTCAGAATTCTGTCTTCACGTATGAGCTCACTCTCTAACTCGATGTTTCAGGAAAAGGTTTAGACAACAAATGTGGCAGGCACGTGGTTCTCTTGTCAGTCAGCCAAGTTGCTTCAATGGAGAGAGGCAAAGATAGAAGTGATACGTACTGCTTTTTAAACGGAGAAAAAAGGATTAGTGTTTGGTCAAGAAGTCAAAAGGTGCAGTAGTTTCCCACACTTAGCAGGTTCCTGATTAGTTGGTCATCTTGTTGGATAGTTGACCATGGTCTGTGACTTTTAAGATAATGTCCAGGTGTCTATGGATATCTGCTAGACATCCAGGTGGCAGCAGTAGACACCTAAAATCCATCTTAAATGCTAGTATTGACACTGGATCTCCACTACCCTGGGAAAGATCTCTATCCAAAACATAAGTTTATCTACCTCACTTGCCCACATGCAAAGACCACTAGGTTATCCTGTGGCTGAGATCACAAAGGGGGGCCTCCTTAGCTACATTCCTGTGACAGACAACAGGGTGCTTGGTCAAGGAACACACAGATTATTACAAATCTTTAATAACACTTAATTCTAAGTAAAATAATCGGCTTCAGTCATACACACTCTTTCTGTTTAAAATGTGAAAGGCCTGAAGTCCTGTAATTCAGAATCCCATCTTGAACTTATTGTACCTTCTATACTAATCTGTGGACATTTTTTTTTGGCTGTGTCTAATTGTCTGATTGCAAATTGCTAAGACCATGCCGGCACGTGACTTTCATACTTTAACAAGTCCCTGTGGTGCACTCTCACACAGAGTTCCTTTATCTTGTGCTATTGTTTTCATTAATAAGATAAGGACAAAGACTTTAGGTAATCAGCAATTAAGTCATTTCCACAAGGACAGCTTTAGAGCACAAGATGTTCAAATATTCCCCAAGCAGAAGAATACAATATAAAACACAGAAGAACGCACTGCTTGTTAATACAACAGGTCCACTACAGACAAAAACTCATGAGAAGAATTTTTAAGGTATGTGACAGAGACACTAATAATGTTAGGAAATAAAATAATTTTATTGATAAATTATATGGACTAGATTTCTATACTGTATCAGGGAAATGAAAATGATAATGGTTAAGTGCATCTGTATAGTCTTCTTCTTAATATTTTGCATAATAATCAGATGTTAGGTCATATAAACATATGTATGCATACACTGTATGTGTAACATATTTTGTCTAGGTGCATAGGTTAAAATGAAAGTGCTAAAGGAATCTGTAAAGATGTATTATGATTTTTTTCCAAATCAAATGTAATAGATTTGTTCAACGACTGCGTATATTTGTTAAACGTAATTAGTAGTATGTTAAATAGTGGTAATGATGAAGACAACTGTCCAGTAGCATGTACTGCACAAAGGGTGGTCAAGGAAGGTCCAGGCAAGACACTACACAACAGGTCACCCTCAACTCACACCATTGCAAAGAATTATGAAAGGTTAATACATTTACTAAATAACTTTATTCAATTAAGTGAAGCGTGGTCCTTGAACTCCATAGTATGTTGATATTTTCATCTTTAATCATTTCTAAATGTATAAATTTGTAATGTATTAAACCTGCAGGAATATGACTCTTCAGGATCAGGGTAATCCAGAACTCCAGGTAAGGAAGACACTACTATTGGACTTCTACTACTACTACTACCACTACTACTACTACTAGACAAGAAAATGTTGCATGCTTTTGTAAACCTGCTGCAGATTAGCTTTAGGAATATATTTGTCCACAAAACGACAAGGAGAATTTAATTAAACTATTGTTGTGTTGGAAATAATAACCACTAAGATGGGGTCTTTGCTTTCACACATTTATGTTTGTTTCTAGGTTTTTTTAACAATTGGATCGGACGGACAACTACAATGCAAAACACATCCTATGTGACGATATTCTTTCTAACGGCATATGGCACCAATGGGAATTTGAGATATTTGTATTTTACAGCTGCTTTATTTGTCTTTCTTTTGATACTCCTAGCAAACATAATTATTATAACAGTAATTACAAGGGAAAGAAAACTCCACGAACCTATGTACATATTTATTTGTAACCTGACCCTGAATGGGGTGTATGGTAGCATTTCATTTTATCCGCATTGTTTATCCAACCTCTTGTCAGAAACTCCCTCCATATCTAGAGCTGGCTGCTTGACTCAGGTATATTGCCTACACACATATGGAGGATTTGAATATACAATATTGGCTCTGATGGCGTACGACCGATATGTGTCCATATGTCATCCACTGATGTATAACAGCATCATGACCCCCTTAAGAATGACTAAGCTTTTAGTGTTTGTATATATGTACCCTATTTGTATTCTCCTTATACATCTAATGCTAACGATTCGGCTGCCCCTTTGTGGGTTTATAATAGAAAAAGTGTACTGTGATAACTGGTCAGTTGTCAGATTATCATGCTCAGATGTGTCTGTTAATAATATCGTTGGTCTCCTTGTTACATGTTTTCTTATATGTGTACCGTTTCTTGTTGTTTTGTACTCTTATGTCAGAATCCTGGCAGTGTGCCTGAAATCTTCAAAGGAAGCTCGTGCTAAAGCTCTACAGACCTGCACCCCTCATTTAGTGAGCTTCACAAACTACAGCATCGCCACATTTTTTGAAATTCTCCAATATCGTTTTGAGCTTCATAATTTGCCCCATGTAGTACGAATTATGATGTCAATGGATTGCATTTTACTTCCTCCTCTTTTGAATCCTATCATCTATGGAGTGAAATTGCAGGAGATAAGAAAAAGGATCATTAAGATGTTCTTTGGAAAAAAATCTACATGTGACTCTGTTGATGCATCTTTAAAACGCAAAGTGACAATTACGTGTCTTCCACATGTGAAGTAAAAATAAAGCAGTTTGCCATGGTACAATGCTGACATCTTGCCTCTCTGGATTTCACACATGGAGTGAAATTTCTAAAATATCATAGAGTGGTTTATATATATAATTAAACTGTATATTAATGTATCACTTATTCATTAACATAATAATTTATAGAGATCTTCTTTAAGATCAAAGACGTTTATGAAACCATGTACCAAACCAGTACCTCATGTACAGTAATACAGAGTTAAAAAGAGAAACAACTGAATAAGGACAATTTAAATCAGTCTATGGATTCAGACCCATGACATCAGAACAGGGCATTTAAAGATATAAAGGTATTGTACAGTATAGCTTTTTTATTTTGACACAATCTATGCAAACCATTCACTCAGAAATTTAAAATTGCCACTTCAAATTAAGCAATGTAAACCTTACACTATGTTCTGAACAAGTCAAACATCCACATTATCCTTTAATTGATTTAATATCTGTAAGAAAATACAATTACCACCAAATAGATTTACAGATCAAATAACGGTTCTTGATTAAATAAATGTAAAAATCTTATACAATATTCTTAACAGCATTACACAGAGCCATGTTATATTTGTCATAAATAACTAAATACATAAAACACAAGGTCTGCATTCACTCCACTGTAGTCATTATTTTGTAAGTCTTCGTCCAGCAGGGATTCCATTGACAGGACTAATCCTGTACTGTGCTCTAGGTTCTGCCACTTCAGAAGAGATATTTATTACCATTACACCATTCAGATTTACTTGAATTTCTTAAGACCCTTTGGTTTCCATTAGCAAACTGACATCTTGAGTTAGTATCACAAATGTTCAATGGGACGGAGGTGTTGAGATACAGGTGGCGAATCAATATCTTTTTCATTTGTTTGCAGTTGGTCTTTGTCAATTTGTTTGATTTGATTCCACAGAAAGAAACCGGCAGCTGGTCAAAATGTTGTGGTGTGTGCTGAAGTTCACATTTTCCCCTGTTTCAAAAAGGGTTCTTAAAGGTTTCAAAGCAGAATAACATAATCTGTTATGTAAATTTGAATGGCGGAATGGTAATAAATATATCTTCTGAAGTGGCAGAACCTAGAGCACAGTACAGGATTTCGACTTGAGCTCTCATGGTGAGTTTTTCCTCAACGTGAGATTCTTCTTTTGTTTACTGAACATACTGACATGCATAAAAATTTATGCATTGTCATTTCATCTGACCATATGACATTGTCACTCAAAGGGCATTTCAAGTGATGATGTCTGGCAAGTTTGAGTCACTGATTTTTGAGGTCTGCCCACAGAAGAGGCTTCGTCTTTGCAGTGCAGCTATGTACGGATCCCACATTCTTTTGTGTGACTTTGACTTTGACAGTGTTTATTCTGTAGATGTCAGTGTGTAAATCTCCATCTGTTACCTTTGGATTCACAGTGGCCCCCCTAACTACTTATCACACAATACCAAGTTACTAATACTGTACACCAGTACCCTTAAATTCCTTGGTAAATGATCCTATGGTAGAAAGTGTTACATTTAATTGTCTGTGGATTCTATAACACCCACCTCAGCCTTTGGAGGTTGATGACCATTTGCCTGCAATCTTTAAAGAGCTGTCTTTACTTAAACATGATAATGCATACTACTATTAAATGTTTTACTAGCTCCTTTTGTACCTCAGATTAAATTGCTTTAGAGGCTTTTGTAGAGTTCTAGAGACTTCCATTTTTCTTCCATTGAATTTAATTTAAGGGAATAACCAGTGCTGTAAATACTGTACATATGATCTTTTTTTAAAATTGGAAAATATGTTTGACAAATATTACTTTGCTCTGTGCAATGCTAGTATGATTGCATTGTAACTTTGCCATTTTTTGGTGAGACATGTTTTAATCAACAAATTTATGCTATACAATATTTGTTTTGATTTAGTTTTGATTTTATTGGGGATATTAATAAATCTGGAGTGTTTTGTAAAGAACATATTTAAATAAAGGAAATGAATGACACACAATTTTCATGCACACCAGCTTGCCTTGCAAGCAAATAGGAAAAGGTAATAATCACGCACTCAGTATGGTGAGGTATTACAAAGCATTGCATTACAATACAAGCGAGAAATATGTTTTAGCCTGTTCGATAGCACAAAAAGGAAATAAATATTCCCTCAGCATTCTCTTTTAAAAACTCAACATTGGTCTCAAATTATGTGAAAGAGTTGTCCTGACTTGAAATAGAAGGAACCCACTCACAGAGAGGTCACTTTATTTTAATCTTCTAAGCATTATTCTTTACTCTCAAGCTCCTTAAAATGGGAAGTTTATTATATTGTACTGGTATTTACATTTTAACCATATTCTCCACTAACTCTTTCAGAACCCTCTTCAATGATTGCATGTAATATGTCTAACAGAACAGAAGCAAATAGATTCAATTACAATTCAGTAGGAATGCCAACAATGTCAGACAATTTACCATTCCCTTGAGTTTTCATATCTTGAACCACTTTTAGCTCAGACAGACCTACAGTATAGCTATTTTTAACTTCTTTTGTCTCTACAAATGAAATGGAGAAACCCCCCACACATCCTTGATCACATTGTCTGAATTGTAGCGTTTTGCTATCAATAAATGAGAAATATGGAGATTTTACCCTGCTATGTTAGATAATTTCTTATTCTGCACACAAAATATTATTATAACAACAGGTCGGGGCATTGATGAACATACAGGCATGTGGCTTGTTCAAAGAAAATGCAGATGTACCTGATCACCCAATTGTTATGAACATGGAGATTTTTAGCTCTTAAGTCAATGCTGTACATATGACCTGAACAAATCATTATCTACACATGATTTTTTTTTAAAAAGCCACTAACGTGGATTTAAATCCTGACCATTACAATGACAGAGTAAAATGGACACAATTGAGTAAAATACATTATTACAACTATAAGACATCAGTAACTTTTCTAGAAACTGAGATTGATCTCATCAGTGCTCAATTTATGTAAAAGATTTCTGTAGCTCAACCTGAAAAAGGAGGAAACCGCTCACAGAGAAGTTGCTTTATCTTAACCCATTAAAATGTATTCGTTTCTCTCAAGCTCCTTACAAATGTGGAGCCTTTTTATATTGTACTGGCATTTATATTTTAATTATACTTTCCACTAACAGGTTGACTTAATGATTTTTCAGGATGATTTGGTCATTGGTAAATACAATTACCCGGCCCCTTTATCTTGAGTTCAGCAAAAATACAGGATTAATAAGACACATTTTAAATTCAGTTACTCATTACCAAATTCTCATTACTATTCACTTATGAATTAATAGTATTGGTACACCGGAGCATTTGTTTGATTTAAAACCGTTAAGGCCATGCCTGCACAGGATTTTCATACTTTACAAAGGTGCACAATCCTAAAGGAATTAATGTGCACATAAGATCCCTATGGTGTATTCTCTGTCCAGTTTACACAGTTTACACAAAGTTACTTTGTCATGTGTTTTTGTTTTCATTAATAAGAAAAGAACAAAGTCTTAAGGTCATTAGCAATTAATATCCACTAGGATATCATTAGAGAAGAAAGTTCTAATATTCCCCTAGCATGAGAGCACAGTATAAAACAAGGAAGAAGGTGCTGCTGTCCACTGTAAGCAACAGCTCATGAGAAGGTTTTTTAAGGTAAGTGACTAAGACACTAATAGTGTTAGAAAATAAAACCATTTTATTGACATGTTATATGGGTTTAATGTACATATTTAGAAAACAAATAAGGATCAATTGCATCCACATATTGCTCTTATTAATACACTACATTAAAGCAAGAATATTAATTGTTGCTCTTAGTGCTAAGCTTAATATAACTTTGGTGAAAAATTCTATTTGATCTAAGGGCTAACAAATGTGTATATTACAGTTTAAAAGTAGTACTAGTGAAAACACACAATTAGCTTAAAGCACATTCAAAGGCTGTACAGTTATATAGAGGGGGGGCACTATACAGCAGCACCATCATTTGTCACCTTTAAATCATACATTTATAAAGTCTTAGAACACTTGTGTCTTTTACCCATTTAATTTTGACATTTGGTCCTTGAGATCGAGAGGTTGCTGATATTTTTTTTATGTAATAATCTCTAAACTGCTTATCTGGATTGTTGCTCTCCAATTAATGTAAATGAATGATTTTTTGTAATAAATGCAAGTGAAATGACACAAGTAAAAATTAAAAAGATACATGGTCTCATACACCTATTCTGGATTGTGTTACAGAATTTATATGCCACTAATGATGAGGAGAATAAGACTATTGCTTTGATATAAATATCTGCTCTTATATTTTTGTTTGCTGTTTCTAGGTGCCTTGAGAAGAAAAAGAGGAAGATTACAATGCAAAACACATCCAATGTAACAATATTCGTACTAACAGCATATGACAACAATGGAAATATTAGATATTTCTATTTTTCTGCTACTCTGTTGGCCTTTCTTTTCATACTGTTTGGAAATGTACTTCTAATAACAGTAATTGTCAAGGAAAGGAAACTCCATGAACCCATGTATATATTTATTTGTAGCCTAGCTGTGAATGGACTATATGGCAGTTGTGCTTTTTATCCGAAATGTTTGGCTAACCTTCTGTCAGACACCCCATCCATATCTCGGATTGCTTGTTACATTCAAATATTTTGTGTTCATTCCTATGCAGGATTTGAGTATTTAATTTTGTCCATAATGG